AAGCATTTCAATTTGGCGTATCAGACGTTTTTATCGAGACCAGCAGGCATTTGGTGAGAACCGAAGCGGGTCGAACACTAGTGCTCTAAAATGACCTTGTACTGTTATATGATATTCAGTGAATCCAGCTAATCTTGCTATCTGCAATTTTTCTTTGAAATATAAATGCCTTTTGTTGACTAGATGCTTTTTTCCACAATTACTGAGAGAATCAAAGACAGAGTAACTTATATTCATTGCATTTTGTTTTTATAAAAAATTTCCTATTTATAACTGGAATTATGGATAGTAAGTTCGAAATTAAGTTTAGTCAATCTAGTCATTTTATGTAATTATATTTATTAACGATTAAGAATTATGATTATCTGCCATAGTATGCAGTATAAAACTAGCAAATAAGCTAGAATAAAACAAAAAATATTGGTAACATAATGTTTAAGACAATTCGTAAAAATAAAAAAAGTTAATGCTTAAGTTAGAAATAATATACTATAAAATTAATTAATTTTATTGTAAATTATTTGTGTACTTATGTAGCAAAAGTTTTAAATTACACATTTTAAATTGTGTATTTAATAATAAACAGTAAAATTAGTTGTACGTGTATAGAATTTGGTAATATATGTTTAAATTGAAAACGAACGAATCACAACTTTCATTTCAATTGTTTTTACGATTTTCTTTATTATATCTCGTGGTTAAATTTATTCAACTCAATAGATATGTGTTGTTCGTCTGTATCCGCGCCTTTTTTCAAGTAATCCAATGTTACTAACGTACGGTTGTGTCGGTGCATCATTCAATTATTGGTAATATAATCCAACATAATATGATGATTTTTATACCTTTTGTTACACGATACACTCATCTTATCATTATATCGACCAGTTGAACTACATGTTTTCTAGTACATCACGCGAGTAAAATAAGACGATTAATTAAAGCACGACGAGGTATGGCGTGGATAAAGTTATTTTATCTTTCTATATAATATTAAAAACAACACATATGGCGTGCGTAAGTTAAAAACCTTTAGGTAGTATTGTATTCACAATGCCACATTTATCTGTGTTAACTGCAGAAGTGACTGTTTGGTGGAGAAAATACGAAAATTTCATTGATATTTAGCATGTGGTTGAGTGGGAACAAACCAAAAATAAATAAATAAAAGTCCAATGACTTGGTGGAATAAAGAAACGTCTGAATGGTTTTTGGCTTTTGTTGCACGGATGTCAGTATTAATATATAAGAATAAGACTTCTTTGTCGTATTTTCTTTTACTTGTATCTACAATGAAGATTCCTTAATCCAGCGGTTTCCAAACTTTCTCAGCCTCGAAGCCTTTTTTTAAGTAGAAGTTTTTCATGGAGCCCCCAAGAAATATTTAGCGTTAATTTTTATCTACTTATGTTCTATCTTCTATGAAGTATAATAAACATGAATTGTATACATACGGGAGTCAAAATAAAATTATATTTATTAATAAAAGTGGAACAATAGTATTAAAATAACTGGAAAAAAATATTATTTATTATTTAAATCTACAAAACGATAATATTTAAAAGTAATACATTGTTACATATACAAGTCTTGATGTGTTTCTTAATGTAAGAATCTTAATGCTTTTTACAACTGAGTTTGTCGATGTCTGATGTCACAGAAGTCTGTTGAAGACGCATATCGTTTACTGCATCCAAACATACTCGACATTTTGTTTTTGTAGCTGTATACAAAAAACCGTTTCACGAAGATATGTAGTACCAAAAGGCAGTAAAAGCCGTTTAACTTTTGAACTTAATATTGAATAATCTTCCCGTTACTGAGCCCAAAATTCAGATATTGGTTTGCTTTTTAATAATGCCTGATAGCAGCTATCCGAAATCATATCAATGAGAACATCGTATTCTGCATTGAAAATTGCTGGTTTTGACGTCACTAAAAATGGATTTATGGTCCACTCATAGTTTTTTTGAATTAATTCTTGAGCATCTTTTGGAAAGTATAAATTCAAATTTTAAAGCAAATAATTTCGGTGTTTTTTAATTATTACTAATAATGATTTATTATTTGTTAAATTGTTTTCTTGTAAAAAGTTTGAAGTCGTTGAAAAACATATCATGACTTTATCGTCGACATTTCGCCGTTTTTTCGTCTGCCATGCACTTCACTACATTCACTATTAGTGGTTTTATAAGAGTCTTAGAGAGGGTGTGTGGTTTGCCACCAAGAGCCAGTTCATAACTTATTAAGTACGATGTTTTCAGTACTTTTTCGGAATGTGTCTTTACATAAGATACAAACGGTTACTGAGTTGCATGGAGCTCATTACTTTTTTTTTTTAAATAGTTTGCAGTTTTATTTATAAAATCAGGATGTGTTTCAAAATATCGTTTATGCTTAGCAGAAAATATTGAGCTATTAGGCAAAACTTTGCTATATATCACACACTGAGGATGTTCATCGGCAAATTCAGTGAATCCCATATCTAAATATCAATCGCAATATTTTCGTTTTTTGCTTCCTTTTCGAATATCAAAATCAGCTATAGTAGATTTTTAAGTAAAATCATGTACAATATGTTTCGAATGTAATTCTAAGGAATAATTTTTACTACAAGTACAGCTATTGTTATCTTTCTTTGACTAAGCAATAGTTGTTGGCTGACGATTTTCAGGTCTTATGGAGTCCGTTTTAAACCACCGTTCCATTTCAGTAAAAATACACTTGGTCATTTACATACGCATATAAACAACGGACCGAATCGTCAGGGTCGTTTCGAAATATCGTTATTTCGTATTATCAAAAATTCTAAAACTAGATAATTATATACAATTTTCTAATCGGGATTTTACGAAATATACATGTCGTCGAATTATGGCATTCAAGTCTTCATGAAATATGTAATAATTTTAAATAACGAAAATTTTTTTAAATTTGTTGTAGTGTTACAAACGGAGCCCTTGGTAAGCCATTGCAGAGCACAGTTTGAGAATCGCTGCCCTAATCCTATTAATATATACCTATATTTTAATAATTTTGAGCATTTTTACTTTTCATTTCTAATTAACAGATTAGTTTTAATCTAACTTAAAACATAAAGTTTTAGTTATGTTTAGTAGCTTTAATTTATGTTTATTGCGGAATTGGTTTATGAAATTAATTATACAATGTATTAATATATTATCAGCTCCTAACCTAACTAACCTATCCACAAATTTAATGACTTTATTTTTGCTTCTGATTTTTTTTGAGTAGTTACTTGTTATTTGTTATTGATAACATACCAAAGCAATTTCAACATTTTTTCAGGAATTTCTTATCGTATTATAGTTAATAAAATAGTTTAAATTTACTGAAAATATTGTTATAATAATTTTGTTGTGCTATGTGTGTGTGTTGTGCCGTGTTTATTTCAAACCTTCTATAGCGGTAGTGATATTGTAATTGTTCGTGTGATAGGTGGTGTGCCATAATATTAAATAATTAGTAAACAAATACATTTTTTTAAAAGGGGGGATAAATTTTCTTCAGTGTTATTATCCTCCGGTCGTTCTATAAAAAAAAAAAACATGTGTTTTGTCATCGGTTAAATCTTAATAGCTTATTATAATGATTCCTCTTGAAGTGTACAAGAGATGATTATGGAATTTTCTGAGAATATTTGCATTTCTCGTTATCTCAGTGATTAATTTAAAATAAGTCTCATGTTAAAACGTTTCTCGCTTCAATCCATGTTTGTGCTTTCTTAATTAAAAATCTTCGATCTTATTAATATAATTTAAAATGTAAACCAAACCGTGATTAAAAATCATTTTTATAGGTATGTTATTGATATAATACATTTATAAGTCATATATGTATGTTTTTGTATATATATATATACACATATTATGTGTGTGTTATGTATATTCTTACCAACTCTTTAAAAAATATTAAAAATTATTGTTATTCATTATGAATAATAATAATTTTAGAATTAAATATTATTTTACGAATCTGTAAATTATAAAATTATAAATTCTTTATAAATTGTTGAAATTATAGTTTTTTGCAATATTGTGTATATATTTTACCTGTAATGTTCTTAAATTCCCTCTTGGTTTAACGGGACGCAATTCGTGTAATCCGGGAGGGAGATCAAGTGAGTTTTACGCCGTACCTGAAGTGTTAGAATTATTTCTCATCATTGATACCCAAAAGTACCGTCGCCCAGTACATCGCATGATGCACTGCAATAGCCACCACAACGACCTAAAAAAGTCGGTGTAGTCTGGTCCTCCAGGTTGGGGGTTTGGCGACGAGCTAACAATCCGTCCCAATAAAAAAACTATTGTTAAGAAACCACAATAAAACAGTGGCAGCTAAAACTCGTAGAGTTGTGAAGGGCACATAAGAAGAAGAAGAAAAATGTATATATACTTTTAAATATTTTGATTCTAAAATTAATTTTATTTAATTTCAGTATTTTAAAATTAAATTTAACCGCAAGTTCCTTATTTTTATTAATATAATCCTTGTTATATCTTAGAGAAATATCACGGGCTTATGCAAATAAAATTTAAATTAATTTAAATTTTTTAGATATTATTCAAAATAATAATACTTACGAATTTAAAATTGAAGATAAATAAAAGACTCTTTGAGTTACCTTTTGAAGTTATTATCAAACAAAATAGAAATGAAGCACTGTAAATACAAGTTCCGACCTAAGAGATAAATGCATTATACATCTGTTTTGAATAACCTTAATATTTCCAACAAAGTCAAAATACTCTAACTTAAATATGTTTTAATATCAAAGTACAATGATTATTGATTCATTTATTTTCAATTACGTAGTAAATAATCTAGATGATTATAATTTTACATCAAAATTATTTTAAAATTTGAACAGATGTCGATCGTTTTTCTATAATATATTATTTACAATTTCAAAGTTTGTACATCTGTTGTTTATTCGAATAATACATTATATACCTTATGTTATGGTCGGTCAACGTCATTCCGTTATTGAACGCGATCCTAAAATGAAACAATCACCAAGGAATATGTTAACATACACGATTTACTCAATTTTTGCGGTAAGCTTATATCACGGAAAATGTATTACTAATATCATACTTTTTATACTTATCATACAAATTTTTAAAATATATAATCCAAAAAATATTAAATTGCCATTTATTGTGTTGATAGTTTATCAAAAATAAATCGAGTTAGAGAGTTAGCAATATTAAATCAAAAATTAAATTATAATTAAATGTTAACATTTAACTTAAATTTTATTTTTTGAAATCGAATTATTTTTAAATATATGACTGCTACTTAAACATCGTTAAGCGTTTTACATTTCGATATTGCAAAATTTTATTTATAATAAAGTATCCTTTATTGAAATTATATTTTATATTTTTGACTAAATGGTTAGTTGCAAATTTTAAATATATATAATAGGGTTAGTTTAGATAACTAATTTGTGTTTTTAATGAAATAATTTTAAAATTATATACTTAAATTTTAAATGGCCATCATACCAGAACTTATTCGTTAAACATTTAAATTGAATAAGATTTTCAGTCCCGTTTTTTAAATGAACATATATTTAATTTTTTTTTATAATTTATAATTTATAATTTAAAATATAAAATTAATGTTAACATAAATTTTAACAAATTATACTATTATGACGTGGTTTAAGGTTTATTAGTATTTCATATATTATTTTTATTTTAAGTATTATAAATATATATATATATATATATATATATATATATATATATATATATATTTTATTATCAAATATTTTTATCCTGGAAATTTTGGATTTTATTTTATGAAACTAAAATAGTTAGACTTAAATGTATTAACATTAAAACTCAAGAAAAATATTTATCCGTTTTTTTTGAAAAATAAAATCTTTAGTTTTATTTCTCTATAATACACTGCGTAAAGATGATAAACGTTCATGGTTATCATATTCATAATAAATTATTTGCAAAAATGTCATAAAATTGTTATATTGATGATGAATTAGAAATACGTGACATTATTCTTTAATATTCTTGTCATTACAATTAATTTCTTGTCTTTTTTTAATAAAAGTTTTCATTACTTTATTTTACTACGGCCTTATGTTTTGTCTGTGAATAACCCATGTTTTTGCATTTCTTTTTTATCTTTGATTATTGGAATATATATACATTATATCTCGCCTTTTTATGTTTTTTTTTCTACCGTCTTGTAATAAACTTTTTGAGTTTAAATTTTATTTCTCTTTTTCTCATTACGTGAATTTTATTTATGATTTTGTTGTCATTAATATAAATAATTATACTTCTGTTACTCCAAGTATCCTACTTATATAATGTTAAAATAATATACAGTGTAACATACATGAATAAATAGTTTTTTCGTTGTAAATATATTAATATATTTTAAGAATATAAACTCTAATAAAAATATTGATTTTATTATACAAATCAAATAAATAAAATAATACTAACTTAAATTAGTATTTCTTCTCAAATTTGTTATACCATCCTACTAATGTCAAAATACAAATTTGAGAATGGATACATAATTATAATATGTTAGTAGATAATCTCGGAATTTAATGAAAAACATTTTGTGTGTCGCACTGGTGTAATTTTATTGTTGTAGACGATGTTAATCTGCTGGTGGGCAATGGTATCGGCTATAGAGCAACCGGACCTAATCGGTCCCGAAGGGGTTTTCGAAAAATCCGTGTTGGATAAGATGAACTCAGAAAAGGGCATGACTAGGGACGTTGCAGAAATGATGGTTGCGGCTGAGTCATTATCTGCGAACGATCCTGGGACGAAAAATCTCAACAAGGCACTAAACATCTTGGATGAGCTTCAAAGGTGTTCGGCAGATTTGTTTGACAAGATGTATGATGACTTCTTGGATATGTATCCATGTTGGCGAATGTACCTATTATCTAATGATGAGGCACAGAAAAATGCCTTATTGAAAGAATACAAAACCCTATTGAGGAGATTCAACAAAAGTCAAGAGAATCTGATCCAAGAATTAGGAGCGCTCGTTGGAATGGAAAAAGCCCTATTGCCGTCAAATGTGTACGTCGATCCCAAAAATAAAGTCCTGCCTACGACAGATGTAGGAGAGATACTCAAAAATTTATGATGATCGCCATTGATATCATGTGTTAATATGGTCAATATGTTAATATTTAATACTTAGGAAATTATTGTCGTAATTATCTGAATTTTACTGTAAAAAAAAATAATAATAATCATAATAAACCATTGATACATTTTTTTTTATTTACAGCGTAAATAATATTTTATATAAGTAAATTATATTCTTGTAAATTGTTAACTATTCTGGGCTCCAATAACTATAAATTGTATTTAATTTCTACTCGGTATTTCCTGAATTATACATTAGAACAATTGTTTGTGTTTATCAACAATTTTGGTTAAACATCAAGTTTCATAAAATAACTTCTCGTATTTCACGGGTTGATGAATAAACATCATTTCTATTTCATCGTAATTTATTATTTGATGCACACCAAAAAAAAAAAATTACAAATTTTTTTTTGCCTACTAAATAATTTGTGTATCATATCTGGTGTATAACTATTTATGCTTACTATTTAATCGAATTCGTTGAATTTTTCGGCAGATATTCAGAAACTACAATATTACTGGTGTTACTTGTTTTAAAAAACTTTTCGTTGTCTATGTAAAAGAAAGGGAGGTGTGATTCAATTCACTGGCGTGTTTCGAACGGAGAAGATTTATGAGACTGGCTGCAGCGAGAGAATAAAAAAATACTTTGTACGATATTGTAATCGGTGTAAAATATATATGTATATGTTATGCTGAACAGTCGAAAAACCAGTAACGCCTCAACCCGACAATCACACCATGGCGCTTATTTTCTCGTATTTATTCTGCGCCCACATAATATTACCTCTCAAATGACTTCTTGGAACCGTCGATCATTTTAGTATCATTATTGTTCTTCCCTTCATCTTATCGATAAAAAACAATAAAAAAAACAAAATAGGTAATATGTTAAATCCGCGTTCTCTCGTGTGAGCACGTAACTTATTAAACTGATAGTGTGCACTGTGTATACAGCATACGCGTCAGTTCTGCATATTTATAACATACAAATGCTTTAGTGTTTTTCCGCCAATTTACCTAATTGTTACGCGTATTAAACACACACTTTACACGCCCGTCCGGATTTGCCGTACCGTAAATAATAACATACGATCCGTGTGAACTGACGAAGCTTCGCGACTAGATGCATATTGTAAAAAGGATAAACAAGCGAACAAACGAACGTACCGGGAACGTGTCGATTTTACAAAGGAAGAGGGCAAGGAAAACGAAAATTTCCCATCGCTTTTCTACTCTGAGCAAACGACGGACGTGTATACAGAGAGCGTTGGTATTCACACGTTTTGTATTTCAATACTTGACACTCGTTAAACCTATTACACACACGTCTCTATGTAGGCAATAAACGTACGAATGCCGTTTAGTTATATATTTATTTATTGTCATAATTATTATTGCATAAAATATAATATTCGAAAATCGTCAACGTCTTTTTTTCTCGTTTGTTATTGCATACTATTCGAGTACAGCACTTCTATATGATTATTATAATTGTATGTCAACATTTGCGTTTTCTTCCCTCCCATAGTTCTTAGTTAATTATACATCTCTTGTGTCGTTATTTTTTTCAGCTCTTGTTTTATTTTATTTTAAATAATGCTTCGTAGTCTCATCTTAGTACATTTTTGTATTGTCTTCAACATTCAACACTGACAATATTGCATAATTCCATAGCTTTATTGCCACTTTTGTTTGTGACTCGGTGCTTGTAAAATGTATGAATGACCTATGTGTATATATTCTTCAATGGTTACCAATCTATTTTGTTTTTCACGTTAACAATTCTTCTAACTAGTCAGCGATGTGACTAAATCCTAATTGTTTGAAACATTAACGAAATCGAATAGAATTTTATTTGTGATTTTAGCTGCCGTGTATTTTGTAGTCATTATAACCATTCCGTTCATATAAAAATCTTATTGAAATAAAGTGATTTTATATATTCAAATCGACCATCAGAAACAAGACATGCATGGCTTTTTTTCTATTAGGTTGTATCAGTTTTTATAAAAAAATTATAATTTTACTACTTACTACAATTACTTTGAATACTGTGTGTTGTATTCTTATACATTTAACAAATTGTATTATGATAAGGTATCAGTGCAGTAAAATATAATTAACAATTTACAAAAACTATAAATAATATTTTAAAAAAATATTAAATATTTTATTTTAATGCTATACAAGATTCAAATTTCAGTAAAGTATATAATACCTGTATTTTTTACACGTTTATTTAACTAAAATTTAAAAAGAATGTGTACAACATTTAATTAATTAAGTAATCACTTAATATTATCTATGATATTTGATTATTTGTAATAAAAATTTTTTAATTATCTAGATATTTCAAAACTTACATGTTCAGTTGTCCATCAATACATAATTATAATTTATTGTTACTTGGTATAATTACTATTAGTCAATGACTAAAATATAAGTAATCGTCTATAATTCTCGATCACGAGGGTTACGCATAACATTAATGTTCATAACAATAAATAATTTCTATAAATACAATTTCTGTTAATGGGAATACGTCAATATTGTCGTATAATAGTTACGTACCTTTTGACTAAAACAAAAAGCAATTATTAGTATAGTGGACTTATCCGCTTTCGTTATGCTACCGCATGTTAAATTATTACGCACCACTGGGAACAGTGATAGGAAGTCTGCCGTGAACACCACTTGGTGCCCAACTGTATAATATACTCTCTGTTCAAAAGCGTTAAAAAGTTATATATATGTATAATTGATGGGTCGAGCCTGATTTTTCGGTGTCGATCCTTACTCGAACTGAATATTGTGTCAAAGTATATTACGAACCCAAACCGAACCAAACTTATAATTTTATTCAAACAAACCTGAGCCGAACTATTAAAATGTTTTATTGAACTAAAATTCAAACTCTTTTTTTTTTTCTTTTATAAATAGATTGAAATTATGAAAATGTACTTAAAAATTAATTTGTAATATTTTTAATGTTGAGGGGCCCTCGTTTACAACTTGTGCTCCGAGATGACGTCTGATGGTGGTGCAGAAGTATTTTGTTTATTTCGTTTTCTATATAAATGCAAACAGTTTCCATGCATCCTTAATCCATTTTCTCACGTTTAGAAATGGTTCGTGCTAAAATAAAAAAGCAGCACCATGTCGTGTCACCCAGAGCCCTCATACTATTTTCTTGTGACAATTTGGCGCTGTTTATGGTTCTTATTTTATCTAGTATACCATTTTTATTTCCCCAACTTGATCGCTGAAGTATGATTTAACTATTTCATAGTCTCGACAACAGTGGTACACAGTGGTTACACGTTTAAACGAACATAACCGAAAACTTTTCTATCTTCGACATAAACTAAAATTTTCGTAAAAAAAATATAAAATATATCTTTTAATTATTTGATGATAAATATTTTATGCGTCTTTATGTCTGGAAGTAAATATATATATATACGTGAGAGATAATTAAATATACGTAAATCGGTCTTGCATGCACACAATTATCATAATAAATTGAATGTAAGAAAATTGTTGAATTCAGTTTATTTCTGTACGAAAAATAACATATGCAATAAAATGCTTTTTGTTAAAATATAATTTTGATAACATTTTTCCGAAAAAAAATAATATTTAAGCAAATTTAGATCTTGAAGATAAGTTATTTATCATCAAGTTGTTGAGTTTATGCGTATACATAAATGCAAGTAGAACATAAATAGTGGACGGTCACTGTGTATTTTAAGCTGTCTATAATTTTATTTAATTTAATATAAGCTTATAAGGCTTAAGGACCTAAAGAGGGTGATCGGATATGGTTAGGTGGTTGGGTCTAATATTTGGAAAAGGGACACAATGACACCGATGGTATATTGTGTTATGAGTTTAGTAAGTAGTGAAAACGTACTTTTGCTTGCGCATCAACGATTAATCATAAACGATAGTGATCGTTATATCGGAATTATAGGATCTCGTTATCTCTTTGAATTGTGTTGATTGTTTCAAAATATATTAAAAGTATTCCTATTATAAGATATCAACGCTTTTATTTGAAAATATTCTACTTGTGATCCATATAAATGTGTTCAAATAATGAATAAAAGTATTATTTTCGTAACATATTTATGTTACACGTTATATTTTAAATATTAATATATCAAATTGTATTTTTTTTTTCATTTAGTTCCGTCCAATAATATGAGGAGAGACACAAAACTGAGACATCAAAGGCATTTGGGACAACCACTACCACACCCAGAAGCATACATATCCTATGATTACAATATGAATCCAGTAAGTGTACGAAATTATGGTTTTTATTATCGAATAATTTAATATAATTATAATTTTAAGAGGGAGTTAGAGAATACGAGAAAGAGTACTGAAAATTAATAATATAACCATACATATACGGAAATTTAATCTTACAGTTGTCTGCAAAGACTCATATTAATATTATAACAGTTTTGCTCATCTACTTATATACTTAGTATATATACAGTATTTATATACGTATATTGTAATTTATTCGCCTAAGTACGTATGTAATTTATTAATTATTTTGAGGTAGGTTTTCGTATTCAATTTTTGATGGATACTATAGTGTTTTGTCATTATTTTATTTATTGGGATTGTTCTATGAATAAATTTCTATACATTTTAAATAAAACAATATTAAGAGATTAAAAGAAAGCTTTTCAATTTTTTATTTGATACTAACAATAGAATTTTTCCATTATTGCATATGTGCTTGTGTCTGTATATTTAAATAAAACTTGACAGCGCATAAACGTATATTGTATACTAACCTTTTAGAAACCACGATTATATATTTTTATTTCAAAATTAACTTAACATATATTTTATTTTTCTTCTTCTTTTTTTTATTTAAAGTAAAGGTTTCAACATATTGTAGTCAGTCTGCAATTAGAACAAGATTAAAAGAAACAAGAATGAAATATTTACAGATATTTACAATTTATGGCTAATACATGAAATGGAAAAAATTATAAATTATTTCGGTATTTTCTTCGCTGAGAACAAGTCGGATGGAAGTTAAGTTGATTGTTGAAGATTTTTTCATACAAAAATAGCATAAGTTTCCGCTGTGTAGGTGTTAGTCTTGGAAGGAAATGAGAATTGATGATTTTCGTGTTCTATGATTACCGCAAAACCCACTCCATTGGAATTTTTGAATGCGTCTGTTTATACGTATTATTATTACTATACGTATTAGTGCACTGCTGGATTCAGTGGCGTACATTCAATCTTGTTCGGGGGGGGGGGGGGGGGGATTAACAAAAATAATCGTTATCTTTTTTTTTTTTTCGTTGCATAGATTAATTAAATAAATAACTGCTATAAATAGATATTATTTTATACAACTATTTTACCAATTTACAGTTTACTTTTACATTACAATAAATTAATAGCTATTGGAATATAAAAACAGCATAGTTAACAAAACTTTTCAAACATCTATAAATTTAAATATTTAACTATCATAATATTTGTATTGTTGTATATTTTAAGTTCAAAGCGTAATAATGAAACTACGAATATATTACTCGTCATCAATAGTAAAACAATTTTTTTTTTTCTGGCCCTGGAGGGGGTTTGAACACAGAACCCCCCCCCATCCCCGTATGTACACCACTGGCTGGAGTATTGTTAGGACATTATCGCAGATAAGAAATTACGAAGAACGATGTTATCAGTGGAATGTTAAGTGTTAGTTGTGTATTGATATAAGGAGACCACAATGAAGGGGGAGATAAACGCTGTATTTTGGTCAAAAAACCTATATTTTATTTTTTCTTATTTGTAAATTTGAATTTATTCAAACTGATCGTGTTCAATTAAGTAAGCACGTGTTGAAAAAATTTACTTTTTAAGTGCAAATTAAAATTATATATTATACCATATAATAAACTATTTAAATTTCAAAATAATTCGCAATGTTATAGTATTAAAGTGCAATAAAGCATGCTACTAATTAATATATTCGTGTTCTAATGACCGTAATATTGTCAATAAATACAAATTATAACATTCAAAGAGCTATAAGCTATATTGTGCTAAAGTGTATATTTATAAACTTTAATATTAAACCACTGCAATAATCCAATACAATGAATACCTATATAATAAAATCATTGCTTTAAAATATTACTATGTATCACCTTACAAGGCTTCCTGTAAATACTATTTTGAATTGCATATAATTCCGTTCGAAAACAAAAGACGTTGGATTTTGATTATGTACGAAAACAACAGACTTTGTTAAATTTTATTATTATATAAAATTATATAGCTTCGTTTCCATTGTAATATGATAATACTTCCACTCGCCACCCATGTATAAATAATACTTAACACAAAATCATAAGAGGAAATATTAAATATGAGAAATACATGCCTACTAATTGTATACGAGAAGGGGTAATAAATATATTCGTGTTAACATCAAATTAATTTTTTCTAAGAACTCGATTGAAAAAGTTTCCAGTTAATTATATTACAGTGAAACCTTTCTTAACGAACACCTCCAAATATCGGACGTTTTTCGGGAACAGGGACATTTTCACTAATTTTCTGTAAGAAAACCTCTAAATAACGGACTCAATTTCTGAAGTTGATAATTTTTATCGTAAGTTAAAAATAATTGTGGAATACTTAAATAAAAGTCTACGCTAGTAAGTTATATTTTATTACATACATTATTATAAAGTAGATATACGAGTACTATACAGAAAATAGTATAACTTATCTTATACATCCAGTCATTGAAATATTACAGCTTCGACCGTCGAAGTTCGACGAAATGTTGTCATATTAGTATTTAGTTATGTTTATAATGCCAATACAAACGTATTTTTTTCCCCATAAATGTTAATTTTTATGATGTTTGTATTTAATTAATGTAAAAATTAAACTTTTCTAAATTATTTTTGAATTTAATTTATAATTCTTATTTAATAAAAATAATATATCACCCTCTAAAAAGCGAACAAAATTTCAACGATTTGACAGTGTCCGGATTTAAAGGTTTTACTGCAGTCGACATTTGTATAATTTATAATGCGTGTAAAGATATGGCCTAAATTTATTTTGCTAGTAATTTTAACTTCTTACGTTACATTATACATATAATTATATTAGGTAATTATATTACCTAATATAATTCAAAATGTTTATGCTACCCATATTTGTATAAAAATTGTTGTGACCTATGTATTATAAATCGGTCCTAAAAATCTTGTCTTAAAATATATCAGAAATATAATTTTTAATGATATTAAAGAATGACTCCGTGTAATCAAATAACAAATATCGATCATCAGAGATGTGCATAATTCTGAAAATCAATTAAAAATATGTGTAATAGAATAATAATGTTGTATCTTGGCTTTCTCAAATTTAAAAACATTAGCCAAAACGGAAAAACTACTTCTTTTATTCCCTTTTCCACTGATTTAACATATTCTCATTTTTATGATATGTGAAAATAGTGCAATGCATTTTGAAAAGTAGAACCAATTATAAGCATATCATTTTTTGTACTCCCGATAAACTGGAGTTTATGTATATATTATTCGTTTGAATTTGTGAGAATGTGTATATATTATGATATGACGCTGTAATACGATAATATATAAACACATATTATATAGATGAACTATAGCGGCCTGTCCGTACAAGTTGTTTTTTATAATCTTCTTATTCGATTTACTGTGCATGATGCTGCGCAGCAGTAGGTTCCGCGTTCTTTAGATATAATTTTACATTTTTTAATAGGATTTTACAGTGAGCAAAATAGACCGAAAAGAATCAAACTTTAATGTGTATTTTACGATTATGAAATTAAAATTAAAAATCAGAAATTGATAACTGTGTTCTGGAAATGAAAGGAGATATACCACCGCATACGCATGTATATAGTTTTCTTTTTTCCCTTGACCAAGTAAAGCTATTTTTTTTTATGTATAAACTTACACACTGACAGCTTCTGTACGTATATGTAGTATTTTTTATTTTATCATTTTTTTACCCCGTATACCTATTCTGTTGGCGTGAAACGACCGTATTAATTACGAAAATTATCCAGAGGATAGCGTGTCACTGTTGTATAGCTATTCCGCTGCGGTTATGTACGCTATGTGCACGCAAAATCAAAATAATAACACATAACAACTGCATCATCACCATACACAATATACATACATTATGTGTGTGTGTGTGTATTCTGCGACAAATATATTATGTTATGTACCCAAGAGTCGGCCTAAATTATTCTACAGATGTAATATTTACCCTGTCTTTTCGTGCATCTATCACACTATATAATTATAGGTATGACAATATAAGTATTTTTATTAATATAATTTTATTATGTTATATATTAGCGCAATAAATTTTATTCTATATACCCAACACATTTCAATAAATTTCCGTTGATTAACAAAAGTAAAATTACAGACCAAATATTGATTGAATGTTAAGCAGATACAATTGCGTTCAATCATTCTTTGTTACAAGCCATTGATGAGTTATTATTGTTTTTTATACGAAAGTAAAATCGGTTCTATCAGAAAACGGTTATGAGTAAATCTTTAATAGGTTTATTGTATGTGGGTCTTGTATGCTCGACCTTTAGTGTAAATCTATGTACATTTTTTTTCATTATGAATGGGTTATTGTCTGTGTTAAAATATCAATTTTTATTATGCCCAAAATTTCATAATCTTCTTCCCCTTCGCTTTTCTCCCGATTATTTGAGATTGGCCACCTTTGTCCTTAACCTCCACTGGTATCGATTTTCTACATCCCCTATAATATGATTAAAAAAATAAGAACATTTGTGTTTTTATCGACAAGGCTAAATTTTCATTTAGTTTTACTGAATTTGTTGAAAAGATTACATATTTATGTATTGTCTGGCTAACCCGATATATAACTACAATACATACGAAACCGAAAAAACATGTTTTAAACAAATAAGGTTTCCACTCAGCTCAGATTTAAAAATGATATAACACATTAGTATTACCTGCATAGAGAGTAATAAGGTGTATTGCTTTCTTACAAATAATTGTATTTAACAATGGACAAAAATAATAAACAAATAAATAAATGAAGACGAAGAAGCCCATGGGGTAGAAAGTATCTATTTAATTCGTTCCGTGTCTGTGGTGCTCGAAGGGCATTTTTCTTGGACTTTTAGTTTATTTACGAATTAACACGCGTAACCGACACAGCGTAACAACGCACGTTGAACGATCGAATGTGTGTGCATGCACTTATATATATATATTGTACGTGTATGTTCATGCCTACAGGAGGACCTCTTTTTCTCGTTTTATTATATATTATATACTGAAAATGATTCGGAATCAATCGAATGCTGCCATCGTTACAGTTGTGTAGAGCTCGTTCCAGTTCGTTACGTTCGACGTACGACTCGCAGGTTCAAGGATTACTCGTTTAATCTGCTTTAGTCTGTCAAAATGTGTCTTAATCTATATACATCGTTACATGAACACTGTTTGCGATGTTTTTATCTTAATCCTTCTCACATCAACAGGATATTTTTTAAGAACGATCATCATAGAAAACGAAACAAAACTATACAATAATTACAATAATATGCTTTCATCTCGAAACTAACTTTTAACTTTGTTATATAATCGAATATAGTTTATTTTTATAAAACAATGTCTCTACGCGTACGTAATATCGATAACAATTGTCATATGTCTAATGTACAGTTATTATTAACCATTATTAACACATATCTAGTGATTTATAATTAATTGAATTATGTATAATTGTTGGTCCATTGTATTAATTGTTTAGGACAGGTCAACCATTAAAATTCCATTTAGGAGTTAAAATCCCTTTTAAGCTCAAGTCGTACATTTTAAAAGTACTTGATGATATAAAAAAAAACACTCATTAAAAATCGTTTAAAATCAGTAGACAGTCGCTTTAATATTCTTTCCACTAACTTTTCCGCCAGATGACTAATTGCTTTAAAAACATTTTTTTTTTCACACAACTACTGGACGCTTATTATTTTTAATCTCTTTCTTTCTCCAAATTACAGTATTCAACTAAGAATCAATACCGTTGTGGATTTAATTTCAATGATTTTTGTCAAATTACTTTTTAAACATTTGAAATTTTCCCTTTCCCAAAACGGGAATTATTTAGTTTTAATCGATTTAAACATTTTTAACCACTACTTACACTGCGGTATAGTATTTTCTACTTCTATTCTTCTCGTTCCATTAATAATTCTCCATCAGCCCAGATACAGGTACAGAGTATACAGATTATGAACCTGTGCTGTGAATTGAGTATCACACGGCCAAAAAGTCTTCGTATATATATATATTTCTACCAGCTTGTCCACGTAATTTAATATCGCAAAATATTCGATAATATCACTTATTGTGTGTAAGTTTGTCTGTGTTCCGAGGCCGGTACATAATATGTAGTAGCGAGGGAGAAACTAGAGTAGGTTAGGTAGATCTCAATTTTCTACATTAATAATATTTCCTGTGTTGTATTTAGTACCAAGGAAACAAAGGATTTGGGCCGAAAACCGGATTGCCAGTACAAGATAACCACAAACCAATATTTACGAACTGTATGGACTACCACCCCAGCGTTAAGGAAGAACAACCGACCAATACTTATGTGTTCACTGTAAGTAAATTTTAATAATAAAAATAATATGATATAAAGAAATTGAAAGAGATAGGTACTAAGTAATAAGTGTATGAGTGTGATTTTATAATACCCAAGTAACGATAGATAGTAATTTTTTGAATTGTATGCAAATTATGAGGCTGAAACAATTTTTTAAATAATAGGTACGAATATATTAAACCCGATAATTTCTACGTAATTAAACTTAAAATAACTTAAAATTAATTTAAATACAAATATATTAATTACATATTACATTTTATGTTCTTAAAAAAGTAATAGAAACATTTTTTCTTATATATTTATATAATTCACAGAATAAAGAATACGTTAATAATAAACAATTAGTCAGTTTATTAAGACGTCTTTTACTTTTCATGAAGTATTCAACTATATAGTGTCGATTAAAAATAACTAAAATATAAATTAATAGCGCATACTTGTACTAGTATAATACCATTCTATGTTTTGTTAATTTCGACAATTAGTTTTCATGGCCATTAAAGTTTCGATCTTAAACAAAACAAAGAATAAATTGGTCTTACAATATTTATATTATTTATCTACTTACTAACCTATTTTCAAAATTTCATGCTGCCCTATCAATTGGTTGAAAATTTAACACAGTGGTTTTCTGGATGGATTTTTTTTTCGTATTTATTTTTATGATTATTGTAAAAAAACTTTCGAAGTTGGAGTAATATTTACAAGACTCTAGTTTTCTACATATTTGATTCTTTAATAATTTTATTGGTTTCTACAATATTCAATTTTAATTTTCTATACCTGAAATATCGAAAATTCTTAAAGATTAATAAATGCCAGAAGAAACCTTTTTTTAAGTCAGAGGTTCCCAACCAGGGTGCCGCGGCACACTAGGGTATCACGAGATTAAATTTAGAGTGCCGCAAAAATATTTGAAATATAAATTTATTTTTTAAACGCCTTCATGAAAAATATAGTACTGTGAGTGATCAAACAGACTATACTCTATGTCCATAGTATATAACCTATTGTGTATAATTAATTAGGTATATACAATATAATTTAATGAATTAATTATAAACACATATAATTTTTACATAGTCATACTGAGATGTTCAATCAATTTTAATTTTCATACTGGCTCGATTGTTATCGATTTGATGTGAACTGTTTTAAAGTTATTTACGGTGAAATAGATGTAACTTTATCTTATCTTGATTGTTTATTATTGCTAAATAAAATCGAAGTTACAAAATATAAATTTAAATATACGATATATTAGTATTGCATATTCAGTATAAACTATAGAGTATAGGGCAGGGGTGGCGAACCCATGGCACGCGTGCTAAAAATGGCATGTTGACCAAATTTTAATGGCACGCGCAAAAAATTGAAATTGTACAAAAAAATTTTTTTTGCTATTTATAAAATGTTGGTTATAAGAAATTCAAATAAACAAATTATATATGTTTTAAAAATGACAATATTCTTTATGCTTTCATATTTTTCGTCAACCTATGTTTGTGAAAGCTTATTCGCCATAAAAAATGTAATTAAATCGAAGAGAAAAAAGGTTTTGACCAACAAATGATTGCTGTTTGTGTTTCACTAAGAATAACTATAATTTAATAAATATAATGTAATAAATCTGTAATTTTGTTAATAGTCTTAAAAAATATAATTTTCTTTGGGTACGTAAACGGTTTTCAAAACCTGAAAAGGAAAAATTTGGCACTTGAACCTAAAAAGGTTCGCCACCCCTGGTATAGGGCATAGGCTATAGGGTGCCTCCAAATTTTTAGAAAATAATAAAGGATGCCGTGAGCCAAAAAAAGTTGGGAACCTCTGTTTTAAGTATTAATAATGAAATTGATATTGTAGATAATTCAAACTAATTTTTAAAAGCGTTATATTTAAATTGCAGCATAATTCACTGTTTTAAATAACCGAATTTTTGTTTCGTATCTAATATTATTTTAAATTATTTTTCAACCCTTATTCTCTACACAATTATTGTTTCTCTCTTTATCAATTACTTTTAAATTCACCTTTGGTTGTGTTTATTCATAACTTAAATAATCATGAATAAAAAAAAATAAATAAAAAAAATGGAAATATTTTTCAATGACTTAACTCTAAAATATTTAAAGTGATATTTACTCGGCATTGCCAATTTGTGCTAACTGTACGTTTGCTTCCATAAAATGTTAATTACATCTTATAAAAACTACCGCTTTTTAAACCGTGTATATTATACTTAGTCTTTTATTAAATCATAATATATTTTTCATTTTATGTTATAACGATTTAATTCTTTTAACTTTTTTCGTCGTAATTATTTTATTGAAAATAGCTACTTGATCGTTGAAAACATTTATTACTAAAAAATAAAAATAAAACTTGTGGCCGTATTGAAACAAGAGATACAACTTAGGTTTTAGTAAAATTATGTTTCAGCTATTGTATAAAAATCTGGTTAGTTCGTTAATAAATCACATTTTTTAATGTACACTAAAAAATATGCAATATTATTTTGTTATGCTCTATAAATAATCTCTCAGAATAGACCACATATGAAACAGCATTAGTTGTTTTCTTTTATAAAACATCATATGCTATTCTTTTATTTTATTTAAATTATTAATTATTCCTCAACTATGTGTAGGTTATTAATTATATAAATAAATGTCATCAACTTCCTAGAAGTCTCGATTTGTCAGTTAATATTGTATACCCGTTGGGCGTTGGCATTCCATTTTTGAATAGAAACATAATTTAAAGAAAAAATATTTAACAACAAAATAACCTAAATTAATTTATAACTTAATGATAAACAAATAAATCATATTCAATTCCAAGGCATTACAATATACCTATATTAAAAATTAAATTCTGTTAATTATTTGTATTTTGTTTTCAAAAAATTTAACCAAAATCCTCAACGTGATCCAAAAATGTACACATTTTATAATTAAAATTTGTTTTAAATTGTACTATACAAGAATAATAAAATAATAAATGCTCGTATTAAAAAATTACTATTGATGCCAATAATAGAAACAATCCAATACCAATAATTAAACAGACGTGTCTACCATTTATATATTTAACAAATGGGTATAGACTATTTTACAACAACGTTGATAGTATACTATGTATTATACTATTATGAATGTTACGTGGGAAAACAAATGTGTTAAAAATTAAATACGAGTCGGCATAGTAAATATAGTTGTTAAATTGATGATACCTTTGCAATTATAACGACTACTCGTATGTTGAATCAGTTCTTTAATAAATATGTGTTTGTGTGTGTGTACATAAATACAGTGGACCTCAATTATCCGTGTTCGTGATTAGCCGTGCTCACTTTTCCAAAATTATCGTCGTTCAAAATGTTTCGTCTAAAAAGTTTTATTAGGTGGGACGAACGTATTTTTATATTATGTACATAATACACATTATCAAAAAACATAAACAACTTTTTCAATTATATGAATATGGTCATATATGTCACAGGTAGATAAGAGTTATTTAAGATTAATAGAGACTATTAATAGAGGTTCTTCAACGATCATATTTATCTAATCACGTTATAACTAATACCATTGATTACAAATACTATCTATAATCAATGCTAATACATATGAGAAATTTTCAATTCTGTCGAATTTGCTCCATACTATGTAGTGTGTTTTTACCATTTGCTATAGCCAAAAATAGTCATTGAAATAATAACATTGTACACACTTAATGCATTCAACATTGTTATTAGGTCAAAGCGTTTGACAAGGACCCGCCGGAGAATGGGGGCACGATCAGCAACTACACATTCGTCGCACCGCCCGGCGAACGTCCAAAGTTCTCCATCGACCGGTTGACCGGTGTGATCACCACCCGATACGTAAGTATTTCTTATCGTTTATACGAGGTAGTTTTATATCTCCTCCTACACAGAAAGACTTACATGAACACTTTTTTTGGTATTCGTAGATGTTCGATCGAGACGAGCCGACTCGCGAAAAAGAAGTGTATCTGACGGTCAGGGCCACGGACAACGGAAAACCAACCCTGGACGATGTGTGCACCATTAAGGTGACTATCGAGGATGAGAACGACAACTCACCGGTTTTCGACAAAGTGGTAAGTTAAGTTCCTGCCATTGTTAGACATAAACACGTTATTCGTTTACGTTATAATGTAATGCACTCGTGCCTGCCATACCTACCCGTAACAATATAATACGTTATGCTAATAATATTGTGTACTAACAGTATTTATTTAACTCTCCAAAAATACAGGCCTACCGTGGATTCAACTACAAGGTATCTACATTTTCTGCATGCACCGTCGAGTATATTATACATTTTTTCGTTTCATTTTTATTCATCGTTGTTCGTCGCTCTGTTATATTTTTTTCATTTTTTATTCTCTGCATGCATTTTGTTCGAACGCCGTCATTAGCTAACCGTCGAGCTGATATTTGATTCAATGGCAACTTGATAAAATCAGTTTTGTTTTGATTTTTCTACACATACATGACTGGTTATGTTTATTCTCAATGTTTGTAGTCAGTTATGTTTTAAATGTTAGCACAGTACTCCATACATTTTTATGATTCTAAACTACAGCATAAATTTATTACAATTCATCTCATGCGTGTCGTATTTTGATTTAATTATTTTTCATTAACTGTTTTTAAACGATATTTTAAATCTGGTGAATGATTGTTTATATTTTTTTTTCACCGTATAGTTTTACGCTGAATCTGTTCCTCAAGATTTAGGAGTGGGAAGTGAAGTGATGAGGATATCAGCCACCGATATCGACGACGGTTTGAACAGTGCCATAATATACGAACTGTCAGCCAGAGTGCCCGTAGACACTAATTATTTCCGTATCAACTCAAACACTGGTGTTATTCACTTAGACCGCACGATTGATGTAAGTATTATGTACATACTGTACATACTAGTACACTCGATCGGGCAAACTATAATTAATATAAACACAACCATAAATAATATTAAATTATATTAATAAATTATGTTTGTAATTTGTTCCTTTTTAAGAGAGAACCTGGCTACAAGTTCAAGATGCGTGCCACTGCTACCGATAAAGGTTCAGTTCCTAGGTCGTCTACAATGGATCTAGAAATCATGGTAGTTGAATCCCATAAAAAAGCACCGACGTTTATATCCGTTATCCCAGAAGGGATTATTTATCTACCAGAAAACTTGGCTAATTTTAGTTACGACATAGCCACCATCATAGCAGCGTAAGTGCCCTCCCTAATCCCGTGTTGAGATTAATAAGCAATTTAAACCAGACGAGATGTTAATTTATTAATGTTTCGCGTTTTAGATCAAATACGGATGAAAAATCCCCAGTTTTCGAATTAGTAATCGGTCGGACAGAACAATCAAACAAATTGAACACATTCCGATTAGAATCTGAAGGAAACACTGCTCATATCAGATTGTCGAGAACAATGGACTATGAATCTGTATCTGAGTACAATCTCAACATTCGAATCCAGGTAAAATATATGTTCCTGGTTGCAAATAGATGTGTTCACAAATATCAGTGCTTTGTTTATAAATAATGCAATATTATGATTTGTTTTATTGTGTTATGCATTATACCACGGTCTTCAAACTATGTTGAACTTGGCATGAGTTATTTTTTTTAGTTAATTTTTATTGATTCTGAACCATAAATGTGTGTACAAATCCGTAATTTAAACCATAGACCATTTTTATTATTAAAAAAACTGTCAATACTTTTTCAAATATAACCAATCTAATCAAATTTATTTTATTAAACATTTTATTTAAACCTTTATAATAACATTTATCCAACAACATTATTGTCAGTCAATAACCTTCAATCAGGCCCGGCTTAAGCTTTTTCAGCGCTCAGTGCAAGAATTATTTTTGCAATCCTCCATCTTAAACGACTTAAACATACTACTTAAACAGGCAGAATTTTTGGAGCTGGAGGGGTCTCATTATGCATATTTGCCACATATTTGTAAATCGTACATAGAACAAATATAATAATACTTGTAACAATATAGTGATGGTTTATAAAACTGTAATTATACCTACAAGTGCAGCCAATCCTTGCATGTCAATAGAATAATAAATAATAATCACATTTTTATTAAATCACATCGTGAATTTTTTTTTTCTATCTATAATAGATAATGTGAGTCGCCAACGATTGATCAAATTTAATTCTAATTTTGACGCCTCTCACGGGTCCTTCTGATTTTGGCGCCCTGTGACGTCGCACGCGTTGATTATATCTAAAGTCGGTCCTACCTTCAACTAATTTATTGTTAATAATTATTAGCTATCTGTATTTTTAAATTTTGCTACATATTTTTATATATTATATAAATTATATATGTGCCTAATAAAATATTTAATCGAACCCGGGGTTTGAAATTAATTTGATATTATTATTTTGAAAAGCATATTTTAAATATATCTCTGGTTTTATTCATGTATCACATTACAATTAATGTATAAATCTATGTTTTCAGAACAAACACAATTTAGCAGCGGAACATCAGTTAACCATTGAACTGAAAGATGTCAATGATAATATACCAGTGTTTCCTGAAGGTGTGATTGGCTCTGTATTGGAAAATGAACCAAGTGGAACGGCTGTGATGCAGGTCCGAGCAATTGACGCTGATTTGACTTCTGCCTTCAATCAAGTTACTTACATGCTTGCAGACAACAAGGAATTTTTCACAATCGACCCAATTACCGGGAATATTACGACTTTGGTGACATTTGACCGTGAAACTCAAGATGTATATAACGTCAAAGTAATAGCTACAGATAATGCACCATCAGCTATAATGCCAACGGGTGAACATAACAAGGGTAAGTGAAATTTTCTTTATAGTCTGTAGGTGATAATATTTTTGGTGATGAATGATGAAGTTATTGTTTAGATTATTTGGTTAACTATAAATGTCATAGTTATATAGTTGTAAAATTGGATAACCCTTTCATATATTTTATCCGTACTACTTTCCATTTATATCCTGCCCAATTAAAATACTTATTTAAAACAATTATTAGTGCATTTTTAAGGTATTCATTCTATGTGTAGGTGAACGAGTATTCCATATTGAAATTGCGGATAAAAATGACCATCCACCTCAATTCACTCATGCTGTGTATGAAGCAGAAGAAATACCAGAAAATACTAACCTTAATACTTTGGTTACCGAAGTGAAAGCTGTGGACAAAGACACAGCTTCTTCTGTTACATATAGTATCATAGAAGGTAATATTAACAATGCATTTTGGATTGAAAATACCACCGGAAAAATTAAAGTTAATAGTCAGTTGGACTATGAAAACATTACTAATGTAAGTCAATTTCACTTTATGTTATTTAATTAGTTAACTATATTTAAACTCGTATGTAATCAATCCACAGTACGAGTTGAAAATAAGAGCATTTGATGGAGCCTTTGAGGATAGTTGTACTGTAAAAATAAAAATATCAAATGTTAATGACAACCCACCAGTGTTTTATCCTTATGATGGTAATATAACTATCACAGAAGAAACACTTATAGAAGGATGTATTGCTATGGTAGGTGGTTTTAAATTATTAAAACTGTTTATTTATTTTAATATTTATTTTCTCAACAATTATAATATTTGTTTATTTGTAGCTACAAGCATACGATCCAGATATTCAAGATGAGAAATTAGATCAACACATTGTCTATGCTGTAGTTAAGGAAGAACAAAAAAAGTTAATGAAAATCGATAAAAACGGATGTCTATCTCTTATCAAACCTCTTGATCGTGATCCACCTAATGGTTATGCTACATGGCAACCAATAATTCAAGCCAGTGATGAAGATGGCAAACCCAATTGCTTGTCAACAACTACAAATTTCTTTATTACTCTTCTAGATATTAATGACAATGCACCATATTTGGACATGGTAAGTTAATTGTAATTTTCAAAAAGGATATAGTAAATTGAACAATATATAATATATATAGAAAAAATTAAAAAAATTAAAAAAATGTATTAGTTTTTAATATTAATAAATTAATATTAACTGTTTATATTGTTTTAAACTGTGGTTAAAATTGTTTGGTTTTGTCAATAATTTTTCAGTTATTGTATTTATTATAAACTGATCAATTAATTTAATCTTCAATAGAATAACATTAATTTGAAGAATCAATAAATGCAACCTTTTTACTTTTCTCTCTTATACAAATTCCCCATAGTTTAAAAATAAATTTAAATTTAAAATTTTCATAAAAAATAACTTATTTTATATAAAACATTTGATTTTATTATAGCCTCAACCTATAGTTTGGCGAGAGAATCAATCACCTGGAACTATCACACAGTTAACTGCCAAGGATAATGATGGACCTGAAAATGGTGCACCATTTATTTTTTCAATTTCTTCTGATGCTTCATTTGAAATCCAAACTAAATTTGGAATCAATGGTTAGTATTTTTATTATAAAACTCACATGAATTAATATCCAATGAATATTTGTTTAATATTATTTATATAGGTGTTGAGCTAAATGCTTTGACTTCATTTGACCGAGAAGAGAAAAAAATGTATAATATACCAATTACGATATCTGATAGTGGCATACCTAGTATGACAGGAACTAGCACACTCCAAGTTGTGATTGGTGATGAAAATGATAATGAAATGTTACCAGGTAGAAGCTCCATATTTGTATATACTTATAAAGGTGAATCTCCAGACATGGAAATTGGACGTGTGTACGTTGAAGACAAAGACGACTGGGATTTGCCTGACAAAACATTCAAGTGGCTGCATTTGCCACATGAACGTTTTGACCTGAAATCAGAAACTGGCATGATTACTATGCTGCAGAACACTAAAGAACAAACTTATGTTTTGGAATTTGAAGTCACAGAAGAAGGACAAAAGATCAACAGACATACAGTGAATTCTGTTGTTGTTATTACTGTAAAAGAAATACCTGAAGAAGCTGTTGATAAATCTGGATCAGTTAGATTGGGTGGGATTTCGGCTGAAGAATTTATCACTCCTGGCGCTGTACGTCTTATTAATCTAACACATTGTTTTTTGTATTAATAATTTATAGTAATATAATTTTTCGTGTTTTTAGAATAACATAAGTAAAGCCACTATTTTAAGACATCGATTAGCTACTATTTTAAATGCTAGTGTTGAAAACGTTGATGTATTTACAATTTTGCATTCCCCTCACAATGCCAACACCACTCAACTCGATGTACGATTTTCTGCTCATGGTTCGCCATATTATGAGCCTGAAAGAATTAACGCTGCTATTGATAAACATCAAGCTGAGGTAAAAAAAAAATTAATAGTTTATATATTATACTAATAATTAATTTGACTTACTCTTTGATTCAAAAAATAATAACAATTTTAATTAAATTTGTGTTTTTTGTTGAATAGCTTGAAAAAGATTTGGGTGTTGTTTTCCTCATGGTCAATATTGATGAATGTCTTGTGGAAAAACTTTATTGTGACACATCTTGTAGTAATTTCCTGAATAAAAGCAATAAACCAGCTGCTGTTTATACCAATACTACGTCTTTTGTTGGTATACGAGCTGTTATTGATCCTTTTTGTTCAGATAGCCAATGTGGGCAAAAAGAACCAACCATTATTCCCTGTCATAATGGTGGCACTCCAAGATCAGATGGGCAAGTGGTTTACATAAATTATTTTATTATTATGGTTAATGTGCAGGGCTAATGCTGTCTTTTATACATTTAGAAATGGATGCGAATGCCCAGCTGGATTTGATGGACCTCGATGTGAAATTCTTAACATTGGTTTCTATGGTGAGGGTTATGCCTTGTATCCATCTCTACAGTCTTGCATGGAGTCTCAAATGTCTTTGGAAGTACGCACCACTGTTGATAATGGTCTATTATTTTACATTGGACCTAGTAATGTTAAACCTAATCCATTGTCTGTACAAGGTAAACTATATAAACTAGGTTTATGCCAAATTAGATATATTGGTTATTAATAATATGTTTATTTCTTGTAGATTTTATGTCATTGGAACTTAAGAATGGTTATCTAGTACTTTTGATTGACTATGGCACCGGAACACGTAAAATTGAACAAAAACAAATAAGAATATCTGATGGTGAACCACATCGTATTGAAATCATATGGACAAAAACTGTATGAACACAAATACAATTTATACATTTTACAATGCATTTTCAACACTCATCGTTTGAATATATTTTCAGAATATCGAAATTAAAGTAGATAATTGCAATCTCCCATCGTGTTTAAGTGTTCATACTCCAATTGGACCTAATGAATTCTTAAATGTCAATGGACCTCTGCAACTTGGTGGTACATTCATCAATCTGAGTGCAGTAGCAGCCACAAGAAATTGGACTTACAAACCATTCAATAATGGATTTAATGGCTGTATTCGAAATTTAACATTTAATAGCCGTCTGTACAATTTGGGTGCGCCCAGTTTATCTCATAATGTAGACTTTTCGTGTACACATGGTACAGCAGTAGCTGTGTCATTTGGTATCGACGCTAGTTTCTTGATAGCCATATTTGTTTGCCTTGCTGTTTTATTAAGTAAGTTATTTGACATATACATTTTTATCAACAAGATTTAATAAATGTTTTAATTATTTAGTACTGTTGCTTGCGGTTGTGGTGCATAGAAGAAAGTCTGATGATTTATATAAAGATACAGATGATATAAGAGAAAATATAATCAACTATGAAGATGAAGGTGGCGGTGAAGGAGACATGACTGGCTATGACTTGAATGTTTTACGGCTTATGTATGATGGCACAGAACCAGTACAAGGATTTGATGATGCAAATCTATTACAAAAACGAGGTATGTTTATTTAAATTTATAACTTGTAATGTATTCTATAGTAATTTTAGTTTAAAAGTTTAAAATTATATTTTGATAGAAACTCAATTGTAATGATTTCTCCTTTCTTATTTTTACTGAATAATATTTTATTCTCTTTATTTTTAGCACCAGATGAGGTTCCTGATATTTGTGGCTTCCTTGGCGACAAACTCAACTCAGTAGATAATGATCCTGATTTAGGTCCATATGATGACGTACGTAATTATATGTACGAAGGTGAAGGCAATTCTGTTGGATCATTATCATCATTGGCTTCAGGTTAGTTTTTGTCTTTAATAATCATAATTTATAGTATAATTTTTTAATTATTTTATTTATTTATAGGTACAGATGATGGTGACTTGAACTTTGACTATCTATCTAACTTTGGACCGCGATTCCGTAAATTGGCTGATATGTATGGTGAAGAACCAAGTGACGAAGAAAGTGAAACATACCGCAATACTCATCCCGAGTCGTGGTGCTAACAGTCATTTGAAAGTCGCTCCAAATAATCAGTTACCGGTGCATGTTATCTGTAACGTTATAGTGACTACAATATTTAAGTTTAAATACAGACTATGTAAAACAATTAAAACAAATAATTTGTACAGAGAGTTGATGGTGCTCTAATGACAATTATTGAAAAACAATATTTACTATAAATATTTTTAATTTTAATTTTATTTATTATTATTATTTCATATTTGTTTTGTGTATTATTGACAGTAACGAAGACAAATTTTTGTGTATAAATTCAAAAAATTGATTCGTGATCTCAACAACAGACTGTTTTAGTCTAATTATATTTTGTATTTGTATTTTTCCTTTTTTTTTTTTTTGTAAAAAGAGTCACCAATTTGTAGGTGTAAATTATTTATATTTGTTCTGCTTTTGCAATAGTGAATATTTTAAAATAAATACTTCCATTGCTTCCCAAAAATAACTTATCATGATTCATATTTTTGTATAGAATTTTATGTAATTCTAAGGAAAGGTGATATCAGAAAATAATTATAATATTTCGTTATACAGCATTGTTGACGATTAATGTCTTTTTTTTTGTAGATAATATTATAATAATATTTATATACTGCCATTGGATCATTTTGAACAACTTTTTACACGCATTATACTCATTTGTAAATATATGAATAATCAATCAGGGTTAACTATTATGCACAGATCAGCATACAAATTTGATTGCCTTGAAGTAACAATAAACTGATGTTTAAAATCAAAATAATTTTTCCTACTTTTCATGTGTTAATTATCATTTATATTTTTCTATATAGTTTTTATAATTTGCTTGTAAACTGAATTACTTGTACTTTGTTCTAACTAACAACTATTGATGAATACACAGCTTAGAAGATGCCCACATGTTATTACCTACAATTGCATTTTTTTTATGTTTATTATTACTTTATTAAATTTAAGATTTTGTTAAATTTTTTTTTTCTCAATAACTTTTTCAACAAAGAACTAATTATTATTTTATAGTTTTAATATCAAATCATCATTTAGTATCATGAATTGGTCTTTAACTTGAAAAAGTATATAGTAATTTCAAACTTAATTTTCCCACTCCTTAGAATATTTGTTAGTTTTATTATTTATTATTTTGTATTGTTGCCATTTGTGATATGTAATAAGATCATTTATATTTTAAAAACTGTAAAAAAATAGACAAACATTATGTTTATATTCAAAGAAAAAATAAAACATTCCATTTTGAAAATAATGTTGTCGATGCGCATATCTGTGCAAATAAACGACTGAAAATTTAAAGGTAATGTTAATTTTAAGTTAAAAATTTTTTTATTAAATTTATGTCATATATATGATTTATATATTATATAACGTATTGATTAAGTTAAAATAATTAACGTGTATATTAAGGTAAATAAATATTGCACATGATTTAATCATCTTTTTTTGTACCTATTATCATGTATTGTTTATTTACCTATACATTTATAAATTAAATTGATGAAGAATTATGCATTTTAATACCATCTGTATTATTTATTTAATAAATGTATTTACCTAAATTTATTTTATATCTATTTTGTATATTTTCCATAATCATTATGACAAAATTTTTATAATTATACAGCAGAAAATCGTGAATATTTTTACAATCATTTAAAGTAATTTCATAATTGTATATTATCATTTGTTTCAGTTAATTATTATCTGATATTCATTACAATTAGTAGTTGAATGAAAATCCAAAATAGTTGTCTTACTGCTTGAACTCATACTTTAATCATAAAGTCAGTAGTTTATAATAAGTTATTTGGAGATAAAAAAGTAAAGTATTATTTTTATTTACAACTGAAAGGTTAATTATACATTTATAAAAGAGTTCTAAATTTAATGTAAATCAGCTGCACAAAAATTATATTTCTTTTGTAAGTAGTTAAAGTACTGGTTAATACTTTTTAATTATAAATGTTGTATTATTTGTTTATATGTAAATGTGATTTATTAAGTAGTAAATAATAAAATGCCAAAAATAAATTACTCTGACCAAGGTGAAAAAAGTGACAGACTTATAAATCACTCATGTATAATTAAACCAGTTGATTGGAGCATACCAGGTAGGGTTAAGAGAGGTGTTATAGATTTTACAAATTGAATACTGTTTATAATTAGACGCATTCCTTTTTTATCAATACTGTCATTTTAAAAAATGTGTTATTACTAAGGTGTGGATTTCAATGCAAATTACTTTTATTTCCGTATTTTCTGTAACAATGCATTCCAATTACAAAGTTTGTTTTATATATCAAGAAACTAAGAATGTGAGACATATTTTGCACTTTTCTAATTTTTTTTTTTTTTTAGCGCATTTTTTAAGTTTTTAATAAGTTTGGTAAAATTTATTTTGAATTTCTCATTAAATTGCTGAACATATGATTCATATGAAATTTGTACTTGTAACTTCAGATGATGTGAAACGAAGTTCTTCTTCATACAAAACAATACTGTCCAATAACAATGAAGATTTTTATTTTAAATATTTAACATAATTATTCAGTGCTGCAATGAAACACAAGGTATAAATATAACGAATATACCTATCTAAATTGTATGTACATTTTTTGGAAATAATTTTTAATGTAAAAAGAAGATCGATAATCATTTATAGTTTAAATAATAAAAAAAGTGTTTTAAAAACATTTTTCTTTAGTTTTAGAGCATTTAAGTACTTAAGTAATTTTCAAAACGTTGTTTAACACTTAAGGCGGTTGAAAGTGGGTCGTTTTTTCGTGTATTTAGACCAATAAGAAAAAAAAAATACGCTTCCAGAAGTCCAATTTTCGTTTTGAAAAAATGGTTGGATTTGTTTACTGGTTGTCTGTGTTATGTAGGAAGTGAATTTTGGAAAAAAAGAAATTTAATTTGGTACTGTAATAATTAAACAATAGAAAAAATCGAATTTCCTACATAACCTAGTAAACAGAATAATGAATTTAAATATGTTTTCAAAATTAAAATCGGGCTTTTGGTACTGAGTGAATTTTTCTTCCGCTTTTTGGGACTTTCATAGCCGCATTGGAGTTGAAACATTTTGAATCGCAAAATAGAGTGACGTTTGACTGCGCGTAGGTACGCTATACAGATTTCCGAGAATCTTAGCCGTGACTATTATACGAGCGATAAGAAATCAATTACATACCCATATTATAGCAGTAGAATAATAATAATGATACACAGCTGCTAATAAAATATTCAGTAAATGTGTATTTTTTTTTTTTGTGTGTGTCTGTCATGTTTCGGGGCAGTAAAAGTGCTTCAATTTTAAAAACCCAGGGTGGTTTCTGGTAGCAAAGTGAATCTAGTTAGAGTTTTGGGTGATCAAAAGTATAAATCGGGAACTCGCTCTGCTGTACAGACGTAAAGTAGGGGTGGGTGGACATCGGTCATAGAGTGTAATGCGAATGTAAATTTAGACTCGTAAAATTTTTTTAATCGACTTACGCTTAATTTTTTTTTATAATCATTGTAAGCAAAACTTATGGACAACAATATGGATCAACTAATATTGATTAAATTTTAATGAAAAGTGGTATTAACTTACATTAATATGGAACTATTTTAAAATTATTAGATTTTCAGTTTTCTTAAAATAATTCCAATACAGAAACTATATAAAATGTAATGTGGTATTTAGTGTGGTAACATTGTTATTACCTACTTTTATTATACAAAAACAATATTAATTTTCAATGAAAACAATATTATTGTTTGTTTATGTCAATTTTTTTTGAAAAATAATAAATTAAAATTAATAAAACGGATTTTATGGTATTTTAATACAAGTATTTAAATTTTGGTAAAAATACAATTAAAAATTATTCAAAATACTTAAAAAATACATAAAAAAAATGGTATTTAGAATACCTTATAAATACTTCGAAAAGTATTCAAATACTTGTATTCGAATACTTTACAAGATTACATATCATATAATATACTTATCTAATTTCTTTTCACTAGGTTCATTTATTGCGGTAGTCTAGTATAGCGCCAGTGGCGCCCAGACAGGTTATTAAGGGGTGCATTGCAATTGCAATTGCTCTCGTCGGGGGTGGGTGTATAGGTGGGTTGGTGGGTATACAATTGGACAACTTGGTAACAAACATTATGGAGTATGGTAAGCAAATAACATTATTATTAGAACACAAACATTATACCTATACGGCACTGGATGTAGACATCTTAATTTTAATTAATTATAATAAATCTTAATTTCTTAAATTTATAGTTGTTTTAATAGTTAATTACATTTACCGACAACAATTTAAACGAACGTTTCTTTTTTAAAAAAAAAAAATTGGTGGGTGGGTGGGTGAGTAATTTTTTTTAGTAGCATCTGCTCTCTAAATACTTCTGTGCACTACTAGCGGTGGACGTATTGTTAATATAAATCATTTATTTGATTCCATTCGGAAAATCAACCACCCAATTTTTGGATACCCATAGATCTTACTTTAATAAATGAAAAAAAATGATTTTTATTCCGAATTTATTTTTAAGTGTATGATGTGCAACAAATTAGAAGTCATAACAACTAAATGTAATAATTCATCGTCGGTGTGCATAAATACAGAAGTGGTAATAGCAGTTGTAAATACTGGACAAGGATACACTACAATGCGCACTGTGACGGTAATAAAATTATTGTTGAACTGTTTACTGATAAAACAATAATTACGCGTTCGGGGAACTCACGTACACTAATGATCAGTTACTACACACACACTCACACAACAATTCCTAATGATATAACATATTGCCTATACTCAACCCCTTAAAAACGGTCCACTCTCAATCGCCTTAAGCATATAGTATTGATGAACACGATCTAAACTAAAATCACCTTTGTAACGTATTTTATTTATTTACAATATTTGAAGTCTGGACGGTATATGTTTATTATATTACTTAAACATTGATCTTGATGATTCCAATAGCTAGTAAATATAATAGTAGTTAAATTAGCTAGTAGATCGTTGCGTTTACAGGAATATGGAAAATGTTTTGACGTTTGCACGCGATAATTTGGTCTGTTTGCTTTGCATATCGATTTATATTGAAGTATAATATTAATTTCTCGTTTAATTAGGTTCTTTGAAGTACACACAC